ACTGCGATGCGTCGAATACCTCTCCTGCATAAAATGAAGAAGTCAAAGTCAAACGAAGAATTAAATGATGCTCCAAATAATTACGTAATGAAGCAGAAAAAAGAACACTTTCCAATAAAGCACCATGCAACTACTTATTCATGAAGCCAAATAACTATTGAAAATTTTGTATTACTGAGTCGCATACATTGACATAGAGAATTGAAACTTGTATACACCTAATTACATAATTAACCAAGTTAGTGTTTCTTTTTTAAAAGAGTAAATATTATGAAGTATGGAGACCTCCGATTGACTGCAGAACATTTTATTTATCTGAAAGACACACCAAAACCATATTTATATTGGCTGTTAAAAAGTATAGGCGAGCACGAGATTATATTAAACCTTTGTCCAACAATTATTCAAATCCTAAGCTGAACCACAAAGTAGTTAATAACTACATTCAAACAACACGAACGGAACATAGCCCAAACACCAAAGTGAACAACACAGCAATCCAAAACTGTTCCATCTGGTTTCCAGTAAACAGTATCAAATTCTCCATTAACAATTCACAGTTTAAATTTCCCACTTTTACAGTCTGTTTTCTCAGCAGTCAAACAGAACCCAGATCCAAAAACAATACTAAATAATCAAAACAACAAAGCAAATCGTGAAAAACCAATAACAGAAGAATCCCAGAAAGCTCAGAGAAACAAACCTGAGGAATTAAGCTGCAATTGGTTGAGATCTTGAGGGATAGAAGAGGCAGCCTCTTGAATACTACCCCTACTTTCAGACCCCTCCATTTTCTACACTCTTTCTCCTATATATCCAGTATATATACGTATATATATATAGAGAGAGATATTCAAATGTAATCAAAGAACGCAAAAACTGAACAGAACCCAGTAAACTAAAACCCTAAAAATTAATCAGGAACTGAATCTCCGAAGCAAAATTTGAATCTAAAAACAGAGGAGCAAAAACCCTTGTAAGCTGAAATATGTGTGAGGTTTTTCTGCTAAGCTGACGATTGAAAAACTGGAGAGAAGATCTGTACGGTGGTTGGGGTACAAGAATCCACCATGGTTTCGGCAAAGCTGCTGTCTTTGGGTTGGATTTGTAATACGAAAAAGAACCCTAAGATAGGCAGGCAGGGGATAAAGTTTGAGCCTTTTTTTGTAATATTTTGATAGGAATTTTTTTGCTTATCAAAACTGGGATTGGATCGACGGATTAGATAAAATAAAGAGAGGACGGTGAGGTGAAAATATTTTTATATTTTTTTTTTATTTGAAAAAGTTTTAGAAAATACAATAAAATTGAGAAATAAAAGGAGGTTGTAGAAGTTGGTAGTGGAAATGCTTTTCTTGATTTATATGGACTAAAGTAGGGGTGATGTGAGATGAAACACTCACCATTGAAAGGAGACCCACACTCGAATTAAAGTCATGTTTAGGTATGGGAGTGAATATTAAAATAGATAAAATAAAGATGGAATAGAGAGTGTGTTAATAAAGTTATTCTCGATCTTTTATGTGAACTTTTGCAGCGTAATAATAATTATTTATTTTAATTGGTATGATTGATGCATAAAAGGTAATATTGTGATTTTGGGTTAAAAAAATCAAATATAAATTGTCTCGAATAAATGTTTAATGCTCTATTGTAATCTCGCATACAAATTTATTTCTAAAAGCTTTTTGTACCATTAATGTTTTCTCATTGCCGTATTTGTTAGAAGTGGGTAAAGAAAATTTTCATCTAAAACCAATATTGAAAAGAAAATTGAATTTGAGACTTCAAGTGCAAGATTGATTGTTATTAATTAACTTAGGCACAAATCCCCTTCTCAATCAAATCCATAGCTTCATGAGGGAAAAAAAAAAAAAACAAGACTTCTTTTAATCATGTTGACTTAAAAGCTATCTCTAAAATGTTTCTTTAGAAAACTCTTCAAATATTTTTATACCAAGTTGATGTAGACATTTTATATGAAGTTGATAATTCTTTTTTCCTTTCTGAACAAACGATATTATTTACACTAAGAAAAATGAGATGGGTTAAGCCTCACAATGGGCTATCAATAATATGGTTCAAATTCGTCTTTGGCGAGAATCGAACATAAGACCTCTTATTAACAAGTAAAGAGAAATACCACTAGACCGTAGTGTGGCATATGAAGTTGACACTTTAGTTTAATACAATTCCATTTCTTCTCTGTAAAAATGAAAAGAAAACGCAAAATCAAAATGACAATGTTGTATATGATAAATCCCATACATGTTGATCTATTTCATATAATCAAATGTGTCTTGCAAAAAAAGATTAGAAAAAAAATTAGGATTAACTATATTTTACGCTTTTTAAATTTATGGAGTTTTAATGAAACACTTCCGGTATTGTTCACTTTTAACGAAAAATCACATTTTTACCTTTCCCTGGTACTACTTACTACACCTTTATTTGTCATTTTTCATTAAAACTAAAGTATTTTTGGACTTTTCGTTAGTTTTTCTTTAAAATTAAGGTTATTTTTAAAATAGGTTATGAGGTTTCAATTTTTTCACATTGCACACTGAGTTTTTGAAATTGTATCAATTTACACATTTTGTCTCTGAAGTATAATTATCTATTACGTTGAAGAGTTTCTTTCTTAATGTGGGCTTACAAGTTAGCCCATACAAGGACAAACTTTTCAGTGTGCTTGGAACACGGAGCCGTACATCATATATAATTATACAACTAGATTAACACTTGAAAAAAAACTTCACACGATTGAAAATCTCTCTCATATAAAGGTCTAAAGTAGCGTACCACCCTGTATTCCAGAGACACGAAAAATCTCTCTCATATAAGGGTCGCAAAGTCCACCATATCATCAATTTAATGAATTTTCATACAATAAATTAGATCAAAGACATAAATTGATATAATTTACACACTTTAGGATGCAATATGAAGGGTAGTGTTATCCACACACCTATTTTTACTTCTCACATACCTCTCTCAACTTTTGTCCATTAGGTCGATTAAAAAATATCAATGACAAAAAAATAAGGGTAAATCTCAGTTTACTACCCTTATATTTCGTGGTTTTCAACATTTAGTTCATTAAGTTTTTTTTGTCCCAGAGTCATACCTAAAGTGTTAATTTTGGGACAGTCTCATACATCCGTTAGCTAAACTATTAAGTCTCCCGTTAATTGATGACGTAGCGCTCATGTGGACAATGACTGGACACCACGTGTCATTAAAGGGTCCAAGTGGATTTTTTTTTTTTTTTTTTTTGAGAAGGGGTTCAAAAAAAAAATTCGCCCAAATTTTTTTGAAAAAGAAAATCAAATTAAATAAGGAAAAAAACCACAACTTTCTATTTCAAATATGCAAATTCAATTCCAAACAAACTTTGAATTCTAAATCTGCAAATTCATCATTTTAACTACCAACTACCAACAAAGTTTCAAGGGTTCACAACAAAGTTCAATTGTCAATAACTTTCAATTCACAACAAGGTTCACAATACACCCTCCAATTCACAGGAAAGTATAAAAAAACCACAACTTTAACAACTAATGGGTTAAGGTATTCTTCCAAAATATAAGTACACAATTAAACCAAAATAAGAGCACCAAAAAGACCAAAGATTTGTCCAAAACACTAAAGATCTATCAGAAAGTTATTTAAAAAAAAACTAAGGGCATATTCAACTATAACAAAATGAACCCTTAAACAACCTAAAACATTAAAGCAGCATCATGGAACATTCCTCCTCCTTTTCTGACCTCTTGCAGTAGGCTTTGAAGTGGTTTGAGAGGCTTGAGTTGGTTGAGATGAAGGTTGTGGAGCTTCTTGAGTGCATGACTGTGATGACTTAGAGGGTTGTGATGCCTTAGATGTTGAGGCCTAAGTAATGAACTCATATAGCATTAGCATTGACATATACTACAATTCACAAATAACAAATTCACTTAAGAAATGAAAAATCAACAAAAAATATCAAAAGTATACCTCATTTTTCTTACTTTTTCTTCCTTTTCTAGCAGCTGGAAGAGGATGAGTGGTTGGGCATCTGACCTTGTTGTGTCCCAAGGCCTTGCAAACACTACACTTCACACTTTTTTGCCCTCTCTTGCTTAACTTGAATTCATTTTCATCACCCTCCATATGTCTCCTCTTTTTTGGTCTCCCAGGCTGCCTTTTAAAAGTTGGAGGAAGAATGCATTTGTTTTCATGCCTTGGACGGGTTGAATCAAGTTTTCGTGAGCTTTAAAGTACTTTTCCTTCTTGTACCAAGAGGAAACAAATTCCTCAGGCTGTTTCCTTGCATAATAGATGAACAAGCAACTATGTATGCAAGGAAAGCATGTCAAATCCTATCTTCTACATGAGCAAGTACACCCATTCAAATCCACCACAAATATATTGCATCTGCCTTTATCCACTTCAAAATTTTCTCCTCCAAACCATGTAGTTATAGTGTATGAGCTTTTCAGTTTGTACACCTCTAACTTCTTTTGGATTTATGGGCAGATAGCTCATTTATCCTTCCTCATTGCATCCTTTCTCAACCATATCATATTCATCAATAAAACTCTCACAGAGGTTGTTTAAGAGAATGTCACACTGACTGTGTGTCGCAAAGTGTGACATACTTCAATGCAAGACTGGTTTCTTCACCCACCATTTATAAGCTTGGACATTCAACCTATTCACCCCAGCCATACTTTTTCTAAAATCAGCGATGGTTGTTGACTTAGCAACATTCCACAATGCATCTTTTAATCATTTCCCCTTAAACCCATCTACCTTGTAGTTGGTGTATAAATGCCTAACACATAACCAATGATTACAATCAGGCAACACCTTCTCAAAAGCTAGTATTAAACCCTTTTGTTTGTTAGAAATGAAAGTCCAACCACGTTGATTCACAATTCCTAAGTCAGCAGCTAGCAGTTCCAAAAACCAAACACAACTGTCCTCGTTCTCGAGCATATACAGTAACCCAAGTTTGGTTATTTGCATCCATTCCCACTACAGGCAGTAACATGGCCCTTGAACACTCCCTTCAAGTGACAACCATCCAACCCTACAAGCTGCCTACATCCATCCTTAAATCCATTTTTGCAAGCCCCCAAACAAATGTAAATCCTCTGAAATATCACATGAGCATCATCATATGGCAGCACTTTCATCTGAACTGTAGTACCCGAGTTTGTCCTCCTAAGCTCATCATAGTACTCCCACAACTTTGTGTACTGATCCACGTTACTTCCATCTAGGATTTTCAAACATTGTGCTCTCACTTTGTAGGCTGTCTTAAGGTGGATCTCAATCATTATTTCCTCCTTCACTGTCTTCATAAATGCAGTGATGGGCATGTTTGGGTTGAGTCTAAACTTGTCCACATACCTCTTCACAAGCCATGCCACTTTGCAGTTAGGATTTTCCCTCCAAATCCTCAAACGTTCATGCTTCCCAACATAGGTTTTCACTTGCATTGAATCTTCATTGTAGATCCTGGAAGCATACAATCTCCATGGATAGTTTTTCTCACACCTTGCACTAATCTTCCATTTTTTATTTCTTTTTAGCTTAATAGAAGGTGCACCATGCTTAATGGAGTGAGACTACACTGTCTTTCTCAACTGTGCAGCATCTCTGAACTTCAATCCTTTTTCAAACTCTGGATCATCTTCATTGAACTCAGGGTAGATGACCTTCTCATCACATTCTAAACCTAAATTGTCAACACTGTGCAGGCCATCTAAGTCTTATCTCTCATCATCAAGGGGAACATCTTCTACATCCCTTGCATCAATAACTTCTTCTAGATGTTGGTTCTCAACCCCTTCACCCCTTTCAGCATCTCTAATAACACTTTCTACAACTGTATCATCTACTGCACGACGATCATCATCTTCCAAACTGTAGTCACTGTCCACAAACTCACTATCAGTAGTGTTATCCTCTGCATTTACTCCCACAAACAATGCATATTTGTTAAAAACCTAAACTTTGCAAAAATAATTGAATACTGAAATTAAAATTGCAAAAATAAATGTTTCAAAAATTTACCTTCATTAGCTTCTAATTCAGCCCTTTCATTAACTTCTTCAGCTTCGTGACCTTTTTCGTTTTCATCACCTTCATTATCAGCATTGAGAGGACCATCTTCAACTTTATCTCCACTTCCTTGTCCTCCCTCAGTTGCTTCAGCACCCCTTTCATCATCACAATTGTAGGCTATGTCATTCAAAAGACATAGCCATTTTTCTAAGTGATCAGCACCCCCTTTTGCTCTACCCTTCTTTAGTTTTGATCCACTTCCCTTTGTAACCGAAATCGCCACCCTCGATTCCTCAATATCTTCTAGAATGACACCTTTTTTGAATGTGCCACTCTCATATAAATTCATCAAAAGCTTATGTTTTAAGGCAGCTTGCTTCGGACTTAGATGTTCTAGGTACAATTCTATTTTCCTAGTCCCTGGAACATACTTGCACATTTCACCCACATCTTAGTCCCATTTAGTAAGCCTTAATGCCTCCCTATAAGACATCACAGGAATCCTATAGTGATACAATATAAACTCATCATATCCTAACTCCTTAACCATTTCATCAATCTCGAAAAAAGACATGAAGTCTTTGTCTACGTAATCAAACCAAGCCTCAAACCCTCTCGTATATGCATTTTCAGACCACTTCCCACCATGGTTAATTTTAAGGCTAAATAATTCAGGCATGCTTGCAAAGTCAAGGAAAAATGTTTTAAAACCCAAAAAGTTAACCCAAAACACTAACTTGTAGGACCATGATGAAAAAAGGTGAAAACAAAACCGTGGGGACCATGAATACAAGGTTTTTTAAAGGTTGCAATTGAGACCACAAATGAAGACAAAACCACATGCACATTGAAAACAATTAACAATGTAGGAAACCCACTACAAAACACAATTCCAGAAACCATAGAAAAAAAATGGGATTGGAACTCACAAATCCCTAATCCCTAAAATTCAAAATTGAAAAATTGGAAAACATAAACCCATATTATCTACACTTTGAAAAAGGTAGGTTAGTTACAATAAACTGCTCTTTCAGCTACTTCAATCCTCCTTTTTTTCCCACCCCATCGCCAGCGATGGCTTCACGACAACCTTGCCTTGAAACGATGTCCCTTCTTTGATGTGCAAAGGTGTGCGCAACGTATGATGGCGTGCGAAGTGGAATGACGGCGCATTGGTAGGGTTTCGAACGAAGATGGGGGATCGAGATTTCTAGGGGAGTGAAAAATGGTTTTCACTTTTCACTTTTTCACTTTTAACTATTCTCATTCTAAAGTTTGAATTTTGAATTTTTTTTTTCAACCCCTTCTCCAAATATATATATTCCACGTGGACCCCTTAATGACATGTGGTGCCTAATCATTGTCCACATGGGTGCCACGTCATCAATTAACAAAAGACTTAACAGTTTGACTAACGGATGTATGATACTGTCCCAAAATTAACACTTTAGGTATGACTATGGGATAAAAAAAACTTGATGTACTAAATGTTGAAAACCACGAAACATGATGGAAGTAAACTGAAATTTACCTAAAAAATAATAAGGGTGTGTATGAGGTAAAAATTAGTGTGAATAGTACTATCGATTTAAAAATCACTCCAAATTCAAAGTGTGTAAAATACAATAAATTTGTTGTGGTATGAGCCTACAGGTGATTTATGGAGTGCTTTTTCATAAAGAATTTGGATATCTAACAAAAGTTTTGATGTTTTATGATAAAAGTGCTTATAACAGAAGTGATTATGGGTAAACTACCTGTTACATGGTTAGATAAAAAAATAAAAATAAAATAAAATAAAAACCTAATTACATGGAATTTAAGATTAAAGACAAACCAATCAATCATGTAATAACATGTTCACTCACCTAAAAATGTTTTCTAAAAACCAATCTCGCTTTGGACTATATTTAATAAAAAAAATTGACAGAACAAAAACATTTCTAAAAAACGCTTTTTACATGGTAGTTTTAAATGAACCCTAAATACTTGGACAAATTGTTATACAAGGAACAAGTTCTTCACCTTGTACAAATAAACGACATCCCCTATTGTGTGTATAGAATTTTGGCAATTGAAGAGGTTTTTTCTCTCACACCATGTTTGAATGAAGAAACTAAACTTGAAATTTGGGTAAAAATTAGAATTTATAAATTGACATTCACTAATTCCCTTGTTTGGATTCATAAATATAGAAATTTAAAATTTCCACGTGGAAAAAAAATTGGAATTTGGGATCTCCAATTCCCAAGTTTAAATTCCATGTAAATAGGTGTAATTTCCCAATTTCTATGAATGAGAGTTTAAAAATAACAAATTCCGTATTCAATTCCATTGTTCTTTTAGGTTTACCAAACAAGAAAATTTGCAAATTCTAGAAAATAAAATCTTGTCATTTTAAAATTTCTTAGTAATCTAAAATTTCTTCATCCAAATATAATGTCAAGGAACCCAGTTAATTATTGAAGGTTTGATTTTCTGATTTATGGGCTCTAAAATTAAAAATGAATATTTTCTCAAAAAATTTTAAATAAAGAAATAAAAATAAATAAAACAATTTCCCTCTGAATACACAGTACACACAACACAGCGATAGGGATGATATTGATACAATTAGCGTACCAAAACCTTCGTACCGATTACCTACCAAATTATTTGGTATACCAAATATCGGTATACCAAAAATTTGGTTGGTATGGTGTGCCAATAATAATTGCCACTTTGTTTTAGGCCACTTAGTTTGGCCAAAATCTAATATTTTTCTAACCTAATTCAAGGCCCAGAAGATATACACAATTAATGTATTGGTCTTTACAAGTCAACGAAAACCACGAAAACATAAACATTGTAATGAAGCTTTATAGTTTCAAGTGAGATTAACACAAAACTCACAAAAGTTTTGCCCTTCAACCAGCCTTACTTGTTGATCTGTATACAAGTAATGTAGAATGATTTTCTTTATATAATAATTTAATTGCATCAAGATTTACGACAGAAATTAAGGTTGCAATCCAAATAGAAGTTACAAGCTAAATCAAATAGAAGTTAAGTGTACAAACTAAATGAAAATTGGAAGTTCGAATAGAAGTTGACATTTCAAACTAAATCAACTTAAAACTTTAAAATGTAAAAATTCATTGATCAATTCTTCAAGCTTTGAGATATAGATGCATTTGGAGGAGGCGTTGAACTTGTAGAAGATTGAGGTTGAGCTTGTGTCAAGCCTACATTACAAAGTACGTACATACATACATATACACACACACACACACACACACACACACACTAATAAGATTTAGAATAAGAATTAAAGTTGAATATTTAAAAACAAATTTACTAAATAAATTAAAACATGTCGTACTTATTTCCGCTTCTTCCATTCCTTGTAGAATTGAAGCATATCTTCCGTTGGTTCTTTGTAGAAGTTTACTTCATCTGCCCTAAGCCAATCACTAGTACACACTAGTGCATCTATCATTTTAGAAGTCAAGGATGCCCTAAAAGGGTCCATAACCCTCATCCCAAGACTTAATGCACTTTCACTAGAAACGGTAGAAGTGGGGATTGCAAAGATATCTTTGGCTATTTGCGAAAGGATTGGAAACTCTTTTGTGTTTGATTTCCACCAACTCAAGAGATTAAAGCTACCAACAACAAAGCTAATATAAGGAACGGCAAAATACTTATCCACTTCATTGGATATCTCCAAAAGATGTTTCTCCTTCCTTTCTTGTATAAGCTCCTTCATCATTTCAATTTTGTTCTCATCACCCCCACAAGCTTGAATTATGAACTCTTCATTTAGTTGCACATCTTCCAATGGAGCCCCAATAGTAGTAGAAGAACCCCTTCTATACTCATTATACAAACCAAGCAAGCATTTTTTAATCTCCTTAAGCATCCAATCTACCTTCCTATCATCGCATCCAAGTGGTTTGAGGTTGATGGTAATCATTTGAAGTTTATAACAAGGGTCTAGAACTTGGCCAAGAAAAATAAGTGGATTCACATTCTCAAAATTCCACCAATACTTGTTAAATTTCCGCATCATTGTAGTAGCCACGCTTTGCAATGTAAGAATTGGTAGCATCTTTTTTTTTTTTTTTCCCCAATTCTATTTGTAAAGGAACCACTTGATCTCATAGCAAAGTTGATGTAACCTTTTTAGTTGCACTAAGCTTCAAAGTACCATCATTAAACTTCTTCAGAAAGTGCGTAAAGGCTAGTGCTTTCTCCCAATCCTCCTCTTCCGGAGGCCTCACGCTCTTTACCAAATTCTTCTTTGAATCCATTTCCATCTCTTCAAAGTAATCATGAAATTGCACATTCTCCTATACCATCCTAAGAAACACCTCCCTAAACTTGTATGCAACGTCAAACATTTTATATGTTGCATTCCACCTCGTAGACACATCAAAAGGCACATTCGACATTTTATCCATTTTGCATTCAACCGTGATGCTAAAGATCTTCTCTATCCCCCATTGGTTCAAACACACCTCTAGAACTTTCCCAATGTCATCTTCCTTATGGCCCGTGATCTTTATGAAGTTTATGATCCATTTGTGCAACTTTCATTCACTATCCATGAAGTGGGCGGTAACTACCATGTAGTTGATGTTTTGAATTGATGTCCAAGTATCGGTTGTGATACTTACCCTTTGATTATGCATAGCTTCAAATAATTTAGACTTCTCTATTACAAACAAATCCCACACACCGGCTGCAATCTTCCTCCTATTTAGAATCTTGAACCGAGATTGAGCCTCTTTCATCATATCAATATATCCACCATCTTCAACCACCTTAAATGGTTGTTCATCTTTGATAACAAACATCACAACCTTTAACTCAAGTCTCTTTTGGTTAAAGGAGCAGGGGACCAATCCACTACCCATGGACTCATTTGTTAAGACCGGTTGATTTTTATCACCTTTTATATAAAGAGGTGAATCCTTACAAACATTTCTAAGGTGATACATTATGCTTGATGTCCCATTTTTATTAGGATCAGCCAGACACACTTTCTTGCAATGTGAGCAAATTGCAAGGCGAATTTTTTGACCTTTATTCCCTTTTCTTACCACTTTCTTAGCATGTAACCACATCACCGATCGCCCCCATTAATATCATTGTCATCTCTCTTACCACTTCCCACACTTTCATCCATTTCTTGATTTTCTTGTTGAGGTTGTGTTTCAAGTGTTTGGAGTTGAGGTTGAGGTTGAGGTTGGGGTTGAGTGGTAGAAGGTGTACTAGTAGAGCCATGACTATTCCTAGATTCCATCTTGACCTATTAACCAAAATAAGACACAATGTTATATTAAAATATAGTAGCTAGCCTTGTAACTCATTTATATAAATTGTATGCATAGTCATACGAATAAGCCATATAATTCTGCAATAATTCATACATTTTAAAAGATAAAATCACGCTTG